GTGCTCCTGGGTAGGCCAGGGAGATGTGGCCTTGTGTTCTATATCAGGTCTCTCACCCCTTCCTCTCTGGCACTGTTCCCTGTTTTGCTACAGCTGCTGCAAACTAAGCAGCTTTGTTCAGTCACATCCTGCCACCATGATGTTCCTGCCTTGGAGCCAGTTGACCATGGACTGAATCTCCTAAACCCATGAGCCATGGGTTTAGGCTCTCCTCCTTCAAGATGTGGGTGTTGGCATTGTGTCTCAGCCATGGGAAACTGACTAGTATGGTGCCCATTGTCCTTTGCAGTGTGTTTTCATGAGCTTTTTTCTGTGCCAGGAACCTTTTTGTCCACAGTACTTGAATATTCTCATTCCTTCACTTGGGTATCTGGATTATTGTTCCTTAGTAGAGGATCTCTTGCCAACTATTCTCCCAATAACAACACCATTCATAACTCTGTTCCCTTGTCCTGTTTCCTTTTCTCTTAGTCCTGGTCAGAATCTATCTTTTCAGGCATGTCTTTGCTCCCTCAGGTGTTCCCCCACAGTGGGGTACTAACCTTCCTTTCTACACTAACCCCTGCTTTTCTGGCATGATGATTTGCCTTTTCATAGATCACATTACTTTGTATATCATGGTCAGGGGAGGAAAGGTTATGCAGATGCACAGGAAGATGAAAATTGCCTCCACTGCACAGCCATGTCACGATAGCCATCTATGAAATAAGCATTGTAACTGTAGGATAAAATCACAGACGACCCTACCTTACAATGGTCCAATTTACAGTGGTCCAACTTACAACATTTTGACTTTACAGTGATGACTTTTGACTTTACAGTGGAAGCAATGCATATCGTATCAATATCATACTTCCTGTATGGGACATGGCTCTTTTCCTGGGCTGGTGACAGCCATAGATCCTCTCTCAAGATACTGGGTAGCAGCAGTGAGCTACAGCTCCTGGCAGTCACATGTCAGAGGGGTCAGCAAGGGGCACTCAATGTTGTGCTGTGTTGCCAGCTAGGATGTGCTATAGTGTAAGTGTATAAAAGTGTTTTTTACTTATGGTATTTTGGGGGACATAATCCCATGGCACATTGGATCTTTATAGAAAATCTTTTTTTTTTTTTTAAAAAATAGATATTACATGTTGGACTGGGTAGCATGACAATGATTGTTTTGGAATGTTATTTAAACTCATTGCATTTGCATTTCTATATTTCCCTACAACATTTCAGTGAGCTGGGCCTATTGGCTCACATCTGTAGTGCTGGCATTCCAGGAGGCTGCCACAGGAGGATCACAAGGATCACAAGTTTAAAAGCCCAGCCTGGGCAATTTAGTGAGACCCTGTCTCAAAAGAAAAAAGAACAAAAGTTCTGGGCATGCAGTTCAACGCAAAAGCCCCCTGTTCAAACCCCAGTGCCTCAAAAAGCAAAACAAAAACAAAACAAAAGTCAGATCTAGTAAAGTAAAATGTGTTAAATATTACTATGCCCATGAGCCAAGACAATAATGGAAAAACAGGCATCCCTTACTGTCCTGTGATTTTTGGAACACAGACTGTTCTATGGTGCCCATTCCATGCCCACTGCTGCTGTGCCTGAGTAGGAGTGTGCCAGAACATGTGTGAATAAAGGCTCATTTGTGGCTTGTGCTGTCCAAAGGGGCTGTGACATGTAGGGCACCTTCTGCCTCAGTGAGATAATTGTATAACAGGGGCTCTTCCAGGCTCCTGGGGTGATCCACACAGTGTCTGTGGATCTGGATGCTTTGGGTGACCTCAGGGAGCTTGCGGTAGTGGAATTCGGTTGTCACTTACTGTCCTCTCCATGCACAAGTGGCCACGCCTCCTGCCACTCTTGTTGCAGCACATGAGGTCTCTGGCTGTGTCTCCCCCTGGCCCTCTCCCCCTTGGATCATAACCTCTTCTAGGGCAGAAGATGTATCTGATTCATGCTTTCCGTTCTAAGCCAAAGCTGGTGTAGTGGTTGGCCTGCAGCAGTTCAGAAATGTTTGTTAAACAGAGTTGTGGGTTTTTAAGTGAGGAAGATCTGACTGCTGCAGTTCAAAGATCTAACCTGCAGAGCAGTATGTTTAGAGCCAAAACATGCTGTTTTGTAAAAGCCATTTGTTTTTCTTTTGACACTTTCCTCTTGAGATGTCAGTGCCTCTGAGAAGCTATTTTGCAATGCAACTTTGCTAAAACTAATAATTGAGGGCAATGATTATGGGTTTTTTGTTTTGTTTTTATATTTTGGGTTTTAAACCTTAGGCCCATGTTACAAATACCCTTGGCAATAAGTTTGTGTTAATAATGCTTTATGGCAACCTTCCGATTCATTTCTTTATAACGCCTTAATCTCAGAAATGGGTTATGTGCAAATCTGGCGTGCATTGGTGGCTTACTGAGTTTGATAATGGAAGGTAGTAGATAAAAATTACATTCTAAGCCTGAGCGTAAATCTGCGGCATCTCCAGCTCTCCCTGACCTCTGCCTGTGGCCCTTGGGCAAGCTTCGGTGAAGACAGCAGGTGGCTAATGGCCCTGAGGAACGAGTCAGGCCAAGCCCAGTGAAGATTGCCCAACGCAGGGCCTGTGGGAGGCTGTGATTCTGAGTTCTGTGGTCTGCTAGGCAGCTGGAGAGCCCTTGTCCCTGCCTTCCCTGTGTGATGTTTCTTGGGTTACTGGACAGCTCTGCAGTTGGTACCAAGCTACTCGTAGTCTGGGAGCAGAGATCTCTCCAGCACGTGGTACATCCCGCTATGCAGCAGCAGGGCTGCAACCTCGAGGCACAGCCAGCTGGGCCTCTGTCCGGGGGGACCTTGGAAAGGCTTGGTGGTTGCTGGTGATTGGGGTCAGTTGTGCAGCTGTCTTCAAAAGTCTCTCACTGGTGACCAGAAAGTTACTTTGTCAAAATGACAGATGAGCTGTGAGCAGCTCCTCACCCGGCCCATTCCCAGGGCTGTCAGCTCTGTTTACTTGTCAAGCTCAGGTATTTTTGTAACTCCCTACAGCACGTGGGCTTCCTTGGGGCAACCTGTGAAAAATCTTGTATTTCATCTGCTCGGTGGCTTCTCATTGACCCCTGGGAGCAGGGGCACCTGAGGATGCAGGGGGCTTGTGGATGGTGGGTGTGTGATCTTGGACAGACACGGTGCTGATGACCAGGGGGATGGCCCCCTAGGGCTGGACCCATGACATGGTTTTGCCACCATCAGTTGCCAGCAAGATTTAGACATTTGGTTTTCATGTTTTGCCCACACTTGTTCTTCTTTGGCAGAGAATTGTTTATGTGCAGAATTAAAAGATCATGATTTCTCAGCCTTTTAATAACAGAGGGTCTGCTTCTTATGCTGTGGTGTCATGCAGGGGCCCTCAAGATAATCCCTCCAGTGCTCACCTTCTTCAAGGTCACATTGCCAGTGTTCCTGCAGAGCAGTTCTGATTTTATGATTTTGTTTACCCCACTAACCCTCACTCCCCTCCTCCTCAGGACACCTGGCCAGCAGACTCTGTGCTGTCTCCAGAGACTGGAAGCCTGGCCAGTGTCCTCTGAGCCTTAGGTCCTGCTGGTAGTTGGAGCTGGAACCCCAATATTGGTCCATCGTCTTCTCACTGGTTCAAAAAGAACTCACCAGGAAGACATAAAAATATTCCTAGAATTTCATTGCTCTCTGTTTTCCTCTGGGCAGGGGAAGGAGCTGATTCCTGTCACCCGTGTTGCAGGGCGCCCAGGCTGTAGACCGATCAGGTGTTGGAGGGGCTGCACACGGAGCCACTCCCCTCTGCGGGCTTCCTTCCCCTATCCTGGTTGGCAAATGCAGCCCAAGTCAGGAGTTCTTCCGGGGTTTTCTCCAGATGGAGTTTATTTGTCCACATCCCAGCTACCAGATTCCCTTTTGGGTGGGGAGGCAAGAAGGGAGACTTCAGTATTTGGGCAAAATAAAGGTGCCAGAATCGATTCTACCCCACCATGTGCCTATCCCCCTCCTGCGGGCAGAACAGGACTGTGCACTGTGGCTCTCCCTGTGGGCCCTGGGGGCCAAGAGTGTGGCACAGCGGCGTCTGTGACGGCATTGTGGCCAAGTCACTGGCTGCTTCCCACCCCACACATTGCAGGTCTGTGAATGTGATGTCACCAGCAGACTCTGCTTATGCGATGTACGGTGTAATACAAAACAGTGTATGGTGTAATACAAACTTGTTGCTTTCTCTGGGCTACTATTTTTATTGGGTGGTGATTTCTTTGGTGTTCTGCCACCTCTAATGTTTTGGTTCTGTTTCAAAATATGATTAAACAGAACGAGGAGCTGTGGGACCCTGCCCAGTTTTACATCAGAGCTGCACATGCACTCCTCTGTGGTGTCCCAACGGCCCATGCGTCTTTTTCTGCAAGTTCCCTCAAAGACCAAGAGAAAAGCCCCACCAGATCTAAACATGTAAATAGAATTAGGACCACAAGCAATCCCTCCAACAAACTGAAGGCTGTTTAAAAACAATTGAAATGTTAGTAACTGCCATAGAAAAAGGTCCCCCTTACTACCCTGTGCTGTGTCTGCTGGTGTGTGTCGTGTTTTTAAGGTGCAGTATCAGGAGAGCACTGTCACTTGGTGACATATGAGGGCCATATATCATCAGCACATCGTCTCTGTGGAGGATATGGCACTACAAGGCACGATTCTGGCCAGACAGAGCAGGAGGGGGCCCTTACCTCTTTGCCTCCACCCCCTGCCTTTTGCTTTAATCTCCCTCTGTTTTGTGTTGCAGAGAAGTGAATTTCTTCATGGGATAGGACTTGTTGCAAAATAATCAGGGGCCCCAGCGGGCTTCATAAAGTCTTTTAAATGGCCGGGCTTCAAGGGCAGCTTTGTTCCTGCATTTGCACTGTTCACTGGGCGGGAGGGGGCCGTGTTTGCCAGGGCCCGGGTCTCTGGGGTAAAGGCTGTCTGAGCCAGACAGGAGGGGAAAAGAATAAAAGAATAACACTCCCAGATGTAGTGCGATGAATCGCGCGATGTTCTTACAAGGCATTTTAACAGCGAGTCTCCACAGTTATGGCCACGTGATGCTGGAGCCCGCCAGGATGGTACACCCTCCTGTGCAGACCAAGAGGTGGGAGGAGTTGGTGGGTCTGAGGTTCTGGTCTGTCTTGCAAATGACCCAGTGCTCAGACTGGGGAGTTAAGTTAAGTCAAGGATTTAAGCTGTCTTTCCTGAAAGCACTATTTTTACTTGTGCATTCAAAATGAAACCATAAAGCATCCAGGTTTACAGGGGTCTGAAAATAGGGAGTGCTTAACAAAGGCAAATCTTTACATTCTTAGCTGCAGGGAGAGAGGGCTCATTTCAGCCTCTAGGCCGAGCTGTGTTGTAGTGCTTTAGTCACAGAGTTGGATGTACAGGGTCATGAGTTTTAATCTCTGTCCCGGGTGGCTGTGTAAACCTGGTAGAGCATGACCCTCCCTGGGCTTCAGTTTCCTTACCTAGAAGACGGAAGGGAGACAAATCAATGATTTCCCTGGGCTTGTTGCATGGGTTAAATGACAAAATACACAGGACATACTCAGCGCAGTCCAGCATGTAACAGGTTTTCAGAACTGTCAGCCGCTGTGAAAGCAGTAGTCAGCATCTTCTTGCCTGGACAGCAGTATGCTACTCATTGTTAGATGAAAGATGAATCAGCCTTTTGGAGCTTTGACCACCAAAGGGATTTGCAAAATTGGTGTAAATTGTGGGTGCAGCAAGATCTGGAGAGGGACATCAGGGTACAAGCTGGGGAGAGTAGTCACGGGCTACTGCTGACGGCTCTCATTCACCCTGGAGCTGCCAGGGAAGAGAAATCTTGGGAAACACTGGGGGGTGTGGCTTCTTCTCTCTTCCAACTTCACTTTCTGCTCGTTAGAAATGGTGTAATTTCTTAGTCATTTTTTTCTGCCCATTTTTTTTTTGAAGTGCTGTTGATCTCAGAGATGACCCAGAGCCAAAATTTACACTTTGACTTTATGGCAGACCAACTGCCCTTAATTTTTTTCTTATGGTTCTTTCTTTGTAAGAGTTATGGGGAAGTTAATTTTGCTATCAGTAATGAAGAACAAGCAAGCAACAGCTTAATTAAAATAATAAATCACCAGTAAAATGCAATACTGCCATTAACACCCAGAGGGCTATCACAGGGCTCTCCCCACCCCATTCATTATTATTTCTAGAGACCAAGAGTAGATTTTGTGCAAAAGCTGGAGCAGGAGCAGGCTTGCATTAGTGCTTCCTGAATGTTCATGCTCCCTGGGGAAGGATCCCCTGACCAGGGGTTCCAGAAGGGAACCTCTTCATCATTTCCAGTGATGAGACTCCCTGGTTGGCAGCAGAGCCTGCCCCCTTGGTTCTTTAGGTGGTGCTAAAACACACTTCTTTCTTCAGCTTTTTTTTGATAGTACTGGGGATTGAATCCTACGATGTTCCCTCACTGAGATAAATCCCCAACCCTGCTCCCATTTCTAGTCTTTATTTTGAAAGTCTTAGTAAGTTGCCATAGCTGACCTGGAACTTGTCATCCTCCTGCCTCTGCCTCCTGAGTAGCTGGGATTACATGTGTGCACCACTGTGCTTGGTTCTTCCCTCAGGTTTCACCTACATCCCTGAATTGAGGAACCTTCAGAGCTTGAAGCCAGGTCTCCTTGCCCAAGGCCCAGCCCACGTCTTCCTCCAGGGTGTGTAATAGGACTGTGACCTCACTTGTCTAATCAGCGCATCTCTCCAAAAAATTTCCAAACCAGCTCAATTACATACTGATCTCTTCCTAAAATCTCAGCAGTCATGTTGGAGCTCACCTAATTCTAATGTGGTTCACTTATACATTTTAATGCTGGGCCATAGCCATTCACTTTCTTGGCTGGTCCCTTAACTCAGGCCTGGGTACCAGTTCTGTCCCCACTCCACTGCCTGCTGGTTCTTTGGGGGACCTAAGACACTGAAGTTCACTGTGGACCATTTCTCTGTCTGCAGATCTGAAGAAACCATAAGGATTAATGAAACAACATCTGCACAGCTCTTTAGAAGAAAACTGCTGTGGAAACACCAAGTATTATGCTTCTGTTTGGGAGAAGTGGTATCATACTGCCTGAGAGAAGTGAAGACCTGTTTTACCATAGCATTGTCCTTGGCTCTTCAGGGCTAGAATTGGGTTACAGTGGGGTACTTCAAGGAGAAGTTCACTCGCTTAACTTCATGCATAGAAATTGCAGGGAGGATCCACAGGCTGACGTTGGATCAGGTTCTCCTGGAAATGACACCGACATCTGTATTCCTCAAAACAAGCTCCTTTCTGAGCGATCTTGAGGCTTCTTCAC